TGACTTGTTCCACCTCCTTGTTTACATCTTCCGGCATGTTTCTGCTTTGGTATTTTATTGGTCAGGTGCAACCTACCAACTTCACAGACTTCACCCCAATCAAACGCCCGGTCATTTTCTCCGCATCTGGTCTGAAAATTGCCCCAAATACAGATATAATTACAGTGTGTTCTACTCGGGTGAAGACGGTAGGAAGTCTCTGTCTCTCCCAAGGGAAGGGACAATGATGAAAGAAAACAAAACCCCTCTGGCCGAAATACCAAAAATAAGGCAAGTGGGAAAGTTGGTGGGCCACTTGCAAGGGCGAGAACACAGAAAAAGAGAAATAGAGATTGGTGTTGGGCACTGTTGGCAATCGAAAGCACAACACAGAATTTCCCGCAGAGAAATCCTACCCGACAAATTCAGGATGAGAAGGGCAAAAAGGAAGATGTCAGCAAGGCCACTGCAAAAAGGTGATTCTCACCTACAGAACAACAACACAGAACTAGATCACAAAGGCAGAAGACCTGACATGGCTGGGGAGCCAGAAACTGCAGCCTCCTCAGAAGTTGGCAGGAGTTTGCTATCAGTAAAGCCATACCTGACGAAGAGGCACAATCCGCGACAAGAGCCCAATGAGTATGTCTGTGTTGAGACTGCGTTCATGTGCTTCATCAATTATCATCACAGAGTACTTCCGCAGCAAAAAGTATGTCTGTCAAACCACATTGAGCGCATGCGGGCACACAAACACACATACACACGTACACACACACATGCACACGGACACACACACACACACACACAACACACACACACACACACACACACACACACACACACACACACGCGCGCGCGCACACACCCACACACACACACCATAGACAAATATACACGATGAGCCAGTGAAACTCTGACGAAACAGTTTGTCACAGCCCCTCGTTTTTGGTCCTCTTCTCCCACTCTGCTTACAGTTCACAGGGCAGTTCTCTGTGACGATATATACCAAGACTAGCTCCCTTCTGCAGTGTTCTCGGGTCAGGTTGAACAGCAGTGTCGGGCCGTCACCATGCGGCCATCCTGGGCCTCTGGTGCCAGCAGCATGTCTGGAGTGTATTCTCCGGCTGCGACAGACCTTTCCTTGTTTCGTGGGTGTTTTGATGGTTTATGATGGGGTGTGAACCTGCAGTCTGTAGAGTTTTCCATCTGGTGGGGACGAGAGATAGTCTGCTTTGATTTTCGTCCCAGGAACCTTGAGGGCAGTGGTTGGTACCCTCCTCAGGGTATTAGTTGTCGGGCAGTCATCGATGCTTAACCGCAAGCAGGGTTAACCCACCAGTTCACACGAGCCTAAGTTGATGGAGCTACCATCCGAGGCTCGTGAGCCTGCAACTGCTCCTTTTCAAACTGGCCTGCCACTTTTACTAGCGGCCCAGGCCCGATTCTAAGCCAGTAAGACCCATACTATGCTTCGGGTGGCACTGGTGGTTTAAGGACTATCATGAACAGTATGATCCGTTAGGGGCCTCTACAGACCGTCGAGGGTTCGGCCTTCTGATGAGTTGGTGAAACTCCAATGAAACAGTCTGTCACAGACAGACACTTGCCACAACAGGAGAAGGTCCTGGACACCTCCTATTTCTGCAGCCACTGGGCATCATTTCCAACCAAGGGGCAGCTCGGGCTCTACACTGTTCTTATTTTTATTTGTTGTACTGTTGATTCATCTGTCCCTGCAGTGTTTCCATTTTCGGAAAGTAGTGTTTACTTTTACAAGAACTTTCTTCCATTCTGATTTCACCGTGTTTGCTGAGGCACTCGTCCTCGTGTGCCGGATTGCAGAGGGGACTGTTCAGAGAGAGTGTCCGTTTGGTTGATATCTGTGGTAGTCCTAGGGAGAGTTTTGTCCGCATTACGACCGGAGGTAATTTTGTCCCGTGTGCCCGTTTGTGGTCAACTTTTGGCAGACAGGAGCAGAATTCAGATCTCGCCCAGAGGCAGCTGCTGATGCAGCAAGGCACCTGATCAGAAATCCGGCGTCCACAGCGACTATGTGGCGGGGTTGGAGACACATTCAGTTCAGCCCACCCATTCCAACTGTTGATTGGTATTGATCTGGATTGCAGGCTTTGTCTGGAGAACCGCGGTGTATCTGAGACATGTATTCATCCAATCCATCCACTTTTACGTTGCCCTTTAAGTGTCTCACTGTCTGGACTACCCGCACTGTTAGTGTCCTCCTCATCATCATCACTCATCGCTCATGTCCCATCTTCCATGCTGGACTCCTACCGTCTTCACCCGAATAGAACACCCAGTCGTTATAGCTGTATTTGGTGCAGCTTTCAGTCAAGGTACAGCAATAATTACCGGGCGTTCTATTCGGGTGCAGACGGTGGTCACATCAATTACAGAAGCCCTTCTATCATCACTGGGCAATACACCAATGTTGCAGCCCGAATCGGAGCTCAGACAGCCACGCGATTCACATACTGTGCAGAATTCCCGAAGATCATCACTGTCACTTGAACTACACACAGTACGGAGTGCTGAAAGGTTGTTACCGCGGGGGCGTGCAGTAGATGGCCAGATCGTGCGACTCTCCCAATATTCATTCGTTGCATACACCCCTGTCACCGCCTGAGGCAAACCACGCCAATGTCTTCCGCTGAACAAAACGTACCCTTATCACGACTGTATCAGGCCAGAAAGTTAGCGTGTACACGTTCATATTAACTTCATAACGAGGGTATGTCGTATTTGGTGGAAGATGTTGGTCCAGAAACTGTGTGTTTGCTGCCGCTTTGCAATAGCCTGGCTGATGTTTGAACGCAGGGCAAGCAATCAGCATTTCCTCTGCTACGAGCGTTGTGATGGTATGGTCCATGTAACTGTAGGTTTTCACATACCTGACAACTGCTTCTCCTGTACCTACCTACCGCCTTCTGTCATGCCATGTCCTCTCTGCACAGCAGGCATGGATATATGTTTTTGGCACTTTTTGCTAATATGACTTTGTCCCCCCGCAACCACGATCCTGGCATGTGGAGCCAGGTTGCCTTTGATGTCCGTTTCTGGTGAGCCAGTCAAAACCGTGTTAGTAGTGTACCCTTTAATGTATGGATGCGCTACTTCCTCACATCACACCCGAACCGTTCCTATCCTGTCTATCACCGTTGCCATCCACAATAAACTTGTACATCCTATCTTTCCCATGCATTTTCTGCAGTTCTGCTCATCAACCACCTTGCCTCTACACTACTTTGTTATGCAAGAGTGCATTGACAGATGGACCAGCTGGCTCTTTCTTCCTCTCCCTCTCCTTCTTTCCCTGCCTTTCCCCTGGCCTTCATTTTCCTCAGCCTGCCTCCTCTGTCTACATCTCCCACGTGACAATAGATGCATATCTGTAAGAGAATACACAAGACATGTGCATCACATAGGATGCAAATGTGCTGGCTGCTAAGGCAGACGGGTGTATCGGGACTTGGCAATCAACCACGCAAGTGTGCCCAACCTTCCAGTGGTTCCCACGTATTTCCATTTTTTTGGGATTCCAAGAGATTTTGGGCGTGAGTCCCCGGGACAGAAACTTGCAGCAAACAGATATATGATAATAATTTATCCATAAGCAAGCGCTGTTCTGCCCAATGGCTTACATCTACAACACACACACACACACACACACACACACACACACACACACACACACACACACACACACACACACACACACTGTTGCATACTGTTACGGTGCAGACCAGAACAAGAACCGACCTCTCAATACAAAGTATAAGATTGCACAGCGGAAGACTTAGATACCAATGATCCGAACAATCAATATTGCAATGCAGCCCTGAACATACATCATCATCATCATTACATGGTGTGAATGGGGTCTGGCGCTTCACACAGGAAGACTGTGCCAGCCCCTACCGTACACAGACAAAGAAGAAGGGGTTAGATGAAGAGGAGGGGAAGATGGGAATGTCGTCAACACCAAGTCTTCGGCACAGCCCAAATAGTCCCTCGTCGAAATGTCTGAATCCCAAATGTCAAGTCTGGATCCAATGTCGTCAAGTCCCAAGTCACAACTCTCTCTCTGTAGTAGTCTGCTGATAGCTGATAAGTCAGGTGGTGAGAGGGGAAGAAGAGATGGTGGACTTAGAAGAAGAGGAAGAAGAACTCTCTCTCTCTCTCTCTCTCTCTCTCTCTCTCTCTCTCTCTCTCTCTCTCTCTCTCTCTGTGAAGTTGGCGCCTTGATGCAGGTAACTCGAAGATGGAGCTGGAGCTATGGCGCCACAGGTAAGTCTCGCTGGCCTCCGCCAGCTATCTCTCCCAACTCTACTATCTACCACCTACTAGCGCCCAGCGCTGAAGACTACTGTTATGGCTATGAGGCATCAACATTGTTGAAGACTACTGCTAGCGCTAAGCTACTCCCTACAACGCTCCTCCTGAGTGCTGCGCTGAATCCTGAAGACTACTCGTGCCTACTGCCCAACTACCTACCAGTGAAGTGCATGGGAACCTCCTATGTAGTACTCGGGTCCTCCTGGCTGCAGGTGAGCAGTCAAGAAGGTTGCTCTTGCCAATGCCGAAGAGAGAGAGGGGCTGCCGCTGCAGCTCCTGCTCAAGCTGTCGTGGGGAACAGGCGATTTCTGGCCTGTTCCCAAAACCCTGCTTTTGTGCCTGAGTCTTAGGGTCGGTCGAAATGATGAGGGCGAAAAACTGGGCCTCCGTTTCCGGTTGATAAACCTCTGGCCCTGAAAGGCCCAGAAATAGGCTGACACGGAAAAGGGCAAGAGCCTCGATGAGAGTGATCTGAGCCTGGAACCGCCGTTTGTAGTCGGCAATAGACAAATTGGCCAGTTGGCCAGGCATGCCCAAAGTTGCGCCAGTCGTCTATGGTGGGGCTCTAAACCAACATGGCACTGTGACGTGGCACTGCTGACGTGGCACTGTTGCTTACGTGGCACTGCTGACGTGCCACTGTGACGTGGCACTGCTGACGTGTCTGACGTGTCACTGTAACGTGGCGCTGCTGACGTGGCACTGTTGCTTACGTGACACTGTGACGTGGCACTGCTGACGTGACACTGTTGCTTACGTGGCACTGTGACGTGGCACTGCTGACATGGCACTGTTGCTCACGTGGCAGTGCTGACGTGTCACTGCACCAACTCTCAATAGAAAGTAATGCAAAGGGTGGGTGGGGAGGGAAAACGCAGGTAGGAAACCAACCCAACAATACTTTCCTCCCGGCCCTAATCAACAGAAAAAAAAAAGAAAAAAAAAAAAAGGAGTACTTCCTTGATTTTTTTTTTTTTCTTTCTATATCCGTTGAGCTGTTATGAGCGAGACATTACAGAAAACTACTATAAACGAGCTCCAGGCTAGGTTCCGCAAAGTTTCGGCTTTTACAAAAATGTGATCTAAAAAAAAAAATTTGAGAGATAGAATAGAGATGCGATTTTCAGAAAAGAACTAAATCCATTTTCTAAGAATATGGCAACCTCTGAATATGGCTATCGAAATGTTGGTAGGCTTCGCAAGATTTCGCTTTCCAAACAAAATTTTGC